AGACCACTCATATGTTGGTGTACATCTGGCTTCTCAACTCGTTGGTCCCGACGATCGCCGCCACGGTGGATGGCATTGAGAAGGTGAAGGACGTCTGGGAGAAGTTGAGGAGGACATATGATAGAGTGGGGAATAACCCGAGGGTATTCCAGATTAAAGGAGAGATCGACGCCACAGTCCAGGTGGGGGTCGACGAGGTGGAAGAGGAGCAGGAAATCGGGCGAATCTGACGGTAGCAGAAGAAGAAGAAGCTGAGGTGGTCTTTACAGAGGAGGATCGTGCTCTCCTCACGATACTCAGGAAAAAACAGCAAGTAGCAGGGGATGGAGATTTGAGGAATGGGACTGCGGAGGCATCTACTTCGTTCTTCGTCAGAGGCAACACTGCTACCTATGCTCATCCGACCAAAGGTACTGATGACATACATGCTCTTGCTTCTATGTCTCCCGAACAGATCATCAGAGTGGATAGTCGACTCCGGTGCGTCTCGCCATGTGACAGGTAATGCTAGTGAGTTCTCATCATATACTCACTTAGCATCGCCTGATAGTATTCAAACAGCTGATGGTACATTTCAGCCGGTGGTTGGTAAGGGTACAGTCGATTGTACTGGTTCTGTAACTTTGTCCAATGTTTTGCATGCTCCTTCTTTTCCAGTCAATCTTTTATCCATTAGTTCTATCATCCTCCAACTAAAATGTATTGTTTCTTTTGATATTCCCAAGGTGATTTTTTAGGAGAAGGGGACAGGACGGAGACTTGGGACTGGCACATGGCGTAATGGACTGTGGTATCTGGATCGTGAAGGGCTAGATTCAGCTTTGGTATCCATGGTAGAGAGAGCAGGAGTAGGATCTGAGATGAGTGCTGAGAGTGTGTTGATGCTTCATCACAAACGCTTGGGACATACTTCTTTCGGTGTTTTAAGTAGGTTGTATCCATCTTTATTTGAGAAAGTAAATAAAGAGAAACTTGTGTGTGATGCATGTAAGTTGGGAAAGCTTACTAGAAGCTCTTATGTTAGTTCTGATCATAGGAGTTCTCATGCATTTGATATGATACATTCAGATGTGTGGGGGCCATGTTCCACAAGTTCTATGAATGGATACAAGTATTTTGTTACCTTCATTGATTGCTTCTCTCGCGTTACTTGGTTATACCTGATGAAGAATAAGAGTGAAGTGTTTGGCTGCTTTCAAAACTTTCATAGGAATGTTCAGACTCAATATGGAGCAGTGGTGAAGGTATTGAGATCTGATAATGGGACAGAGTACACCAACAGGGTGTTTGGAGAATACTTATCATCTCAGGGAATACAACACCAGACTACATGTCCATACACACCAGCTCAGAATGGGGTAGCGGAAAGGAAGAACAGACATCTTTTAGAGGTTGCTAGAAGTATGATGATCTCCATGAATGTCCCAGAAACATTGTGGGGGCAAGCAGTGTTGACTGCAGCGGCGCTGATCAACAGAATGCCCTCGAGAGTACTGGATTGAAAGTCTCCGTGTGAGACGTTGAAAGGAGATAATGGTGGGATTTTTCCACTGAAAGTTTTTGGTTGTGTGTGCTTTGTGAAGGATAACAGACCATCAGTCGGGAAGCTTGCCCCTAGAGCGGTGAAGTGCATTTTTGTGGGATATTCTGCTACTCAAAAGGGATATGTTTGCTGGAGCCCGGTGGAGAAAAGGCTGTTCGTAAGTATGGATGTGTACTTTCGTGAATTTGAGCCATATTACACACAGAAGGTACCCTCATCCGTTAGTGACTCGCCCAATACTGGAAGTAAGAGGCGAGAAGGGGAGAATGGTGAGAGGCAGAATAATATGGAGAAATCGATTTCTCTAACGATTCCTTGGGAAGGAGAATTGGTTGAGGAGGAGCATGAGAATAAAGAAGAAGAGGATAAGGAGACAAGAGGTGTGAGGCAGGAGAATAAAAAAGAAGAGGATAAGGAGACAAGAGTTGTTAGGCCCACGGCTCAGGGGGAGCTACTTACCTATAGTAGGAAGGGGAAGCAAATTGCGGAAACAGTTACCTATAGTAGGAAGGGGAAGCAAATTGCGGAAACAGTACCTACAGTGCCACTAGTGCCAGGTCCCTTATCAACGCCTGTCCCGACTCCTGAGACACCTACACCACCATCAGATTCCTCTCAAGGTGATATCAATCCTCTCCTTACTCCTCCCACACCAATGTCAGTACGGAGGACTACTCGCAGCAATGCGGGACATCCTCCCGATAGATATGGTTGGGATCTTGCCCAGTTTATATCATATTCTAATCTTCACCCTGCACATGGAGCATTCATTGCATCATTGGATTCTGTTACTGTACCTAACAATTGGCAGATTGCTAAGAAGGACCCAAAGTGGAAAGCAGCTATGCATGAGGAGCTAGGAGCTCTTGAGAAGAACCGCACTTGGGAGCTAGTAAAACTACCAGAAGGAAAGAGAGCAGTTGGATGTAAGTGGGTCTTCACTGTGAAGCAGAATCCAGATGGGCAAGTTGAACGCTACAAGGCTCGTCTGGTGGCAAAAGGGTATAGTCAGACATATGGCATCGATTATGATGAGACTTTTGCACCGATGGCAAAGATGAGCACTGTTCGGACCTTAATCTCTCTAGCAGTAAATGGTGAATGGAAGTTACACCAACTAGATGTGAAGAATGCATTTCTTCATGGAGATCTAGTGGAGGAGGTATACATGGAGATACCACCAGGATTTGGTACAGATCAGACAGTGGGAAAGGTCTGCAGATTGAAGAAGTCTCTCTATGGTCTGAAGCAATCTCCCCGTGCTTGGTTCGACATATTCAGGCCGGCTATGATAGGTATGGGATACCAGCAGATTAATGCCGATCATACCGTGTTCTTTCGAAGATGCTTGCGGTATATGTGGGTGATATGATTATTACAGGGGATGATGAGAAGGAGATTGCCCAACTCAAAATGAGACTGGGTAAGGAATTCGAGGTGAAAGATCTTGGCTTGCTTCGATACTTTCTTGGAATAGAGATAGCTCGAGGAGCGGAGGGAATCGTCCTATCCCAGAGAAAGTATGCATTAGATCTTCTCAAAGAGACAGGGATGTTAGGGTGCAAACCTGCAACTACACCGATCGACCAGAAGCTCAAACTAGGTGTTGAGGCCGGAGAACCAGTTGATCGTGACAGATACCAGAGGCTGGTGGGAAGATTGATCTATTTGAGTCACACACGTCCTGATATCTCTTTTGCAGTGAGCGTGGTGAGTCGCTACATGCACGATCCGAGGAAGGGTCATATGGACGCTGTGTACCAGATTCTGAGATATTTAAAGAGTGCCCCCGGGAAGGGACTGATATTCAGGAAGAATGGACATGTGAACATCGAGGGTTATTGCGACTCTGATTGGGCTAGCTGTGCTGATGACAGGAGATCCACCTCAGGATATTGTATCTTTGTAGGAGGTAACTTGGTCTCGTGGAAGAGCAAGAAGCAATCGGTGGTAGCGAGATCAACAGCTGAAGCAGAATATAGAGCCATGGCCTTAGGAGTTACAGAGTTATTGTGGTTAAAGAGTATGTTGGTGGAGCTGAAGCTGGATCAAGGAGCCAAGATGAAGCTGTGGTGTGATAACAAGTCAGCCATCAGTATCGCCAACAACCCAGTGCAGCATGATAGAACCAAACACATCGAGATCGATAGGTTCTTCATCAAAGAGAAGTTGGATAGTGGACTACTGGAGCTAAGTCATGTTTCGACTAAGGACCAGGCAGCAGATTGTCTGACTAAAGGACTTAGCTCAGTAGATATGATTAGAGGATGTGACAAGATGGGCTTAGTGGATATCTTTCGCCCATCTTGAGGAGGAGTGTTGACATATATTAGTATTTATTAGGACTTATTTGTAAGTTGTGTAAGGGCCTATATAAAGCCCAAGAGATCTCATAATGAATTAGGGTTTTCACATTCTATATGGACTAATTAAATACTTTTAATAACTAATGATGTATAGAAGGGAGACAACTTTAGTAAACAGTAGAACATAAATGAGTTATTTTCCTTGTTAAATCTCTACTCACACACTTACCAATTATTTAATTTTACTGTATCTTGCGAGCAGTTCTAAGGGTCAATATTTATATTCATTTTGTGGGGCTGCCTTCCTTAGCTTGTTAACATGTATTCTTTTTTACCATTAGCAAGAGCTTGTTTCAGTGCTTATCATAAGAAATTCAAACAACTGCTCCAAATACAGTATCAGGAAGTACAGCTTGCGGAACTTCAATATCCACAGTTTTATTAGCTAAATAGCAATTGGCACATACAATTCGCCCAGTTGCTTATCGTGGATTTTTCATAACCTTGCTGCACAAAAAAATGGGATACGCATTTGAAATAGATGTTCGAGTTATTACATATAACATGAATCAAATCCCATAACTCCAATTAGGGATTTGTTGGGCCCCTTAGGTACTATTGTACCTAAAATAATGAACTTCTGTTCATCTTACCATTTAATAACTCATAATCAGATCTTGATAAACTTACATTCTGCAGGTCGCCTCAATTGCTACTTGCTTTCTCTGATGTACTTTTTCAAGACGTTTTTCATACTCCTATGGTATTTACCATTGAACCCTTGCATGCTACAATATACATAGTGCAGTTCTGTCCATACTTCTACTGCATTTTACCTTAGCATTATTTTTACCTTAGCATTATTAAAACTAAGTATCTGCTTCATGTATAATGTTAGATTTAATGTTTTAGCTATCGGGTCAGTGGCTATGGATCCATCTTACTTACTATCTGGTTGTATTCCTATATACCACTCTCCTCTAATCAATAATACTTTATCTGAGTATTTCCATAACACATAATAACCTCCTTTTTCTTGTTGATGGTATAACATACTTTCTTACGCTAAGCGCCCTTATATGACAGGACTGGAGCATACTTACACTTCATGGCAACAGGAAAGAGAACAGCTAAGAAGGACAAGTAGATACCTGTGGAGCTCTTGTTATGTTCACTTTGGATCCAAGCCAGGTTTTACACCAGGAAAGAGAATTATATGCCACCTGCCAGAGCAATTCACTGGCATTAGTGGATGCCTATGCATTCTAAGATATAAAATGTCAGAAAACATCTTATATTAAAATAAAAAAAATCTTTATACAAGAAGGTATACATTAGTTATCACATACAGTTGTATCCCCACTGGCAGCACCTGGGTTTCCGCTAATTGAATTACCAGATCTGCTAGGACATAATAGAGCTTTCAGAAACTTGATCATAAACGTATCCGATAACTAAGAATTATCTTGAACAACTTTAAATCGTTAAGACCCATGTTTTTTGTTATACTCAAAGTAAGACTATGGTATCACTAACAGGGGGAAAAAACAAAAGTCTGCCATATACAATGAAAATTGAACAGTACAAATGGTACCAAGTTTTCTTTCCCCTGTGGAATGTTTGGCAGACCTTTTGCTAATAGGCACTATAGTACAAATGACCTCATCTAATTTGTAACTTAAACTATGAAAATAACGTTTTAAGTTTTTTATGCCTATACTTCAAAGTCTCCAATTACATATACCCCAACTCAATAACACTTACAACCCCAAGAAATGGTCATTGACCCGAGAGACATGCACAACATGGTCAACCACAAGAAAAGGGGTACACGTAATGCATGTGCACACAAACACATAATGAGAAAGAGAGAGGGGTGATGGCTTGCCTTGTAAATAAGGTTCCTTCATACTCATAAACGACATCAGTTATGATCCAGTTGTCAGGATATGGCTTGCCACTAGGTGCAAAATAGTAACCAACCTGTTTCACCACGAATTAGAAGTATCATTAATAGCAAACTAATATTTTAGTGTGTGTTAGATAACTTCAAAGGAAGTTGTTAAAGAAGGCTCAACAGTGTGCATGAACAGGCAATACAGATGTCAAGTCAAGAATGTTTGACAAGGGAAACTTCAAAGAAATTTGATATCAAGGCACAACACATTTTGTTGACATATTAATTATATTTAGGGGGTTATTTGTAAGTTTGTAAGGGCCTATATAAGCCCAAGAGTTTTCAGTAATAGAAGTTGCTTTTCAATAATATGGTATTAGAGCCTAGCCACCGCCAACCCTAACCCTAACCGTA